CGACAACCTCGTCCACCTCGAGGAGTTCGAGAAGGCGCTCGCCCGCGCCGCCGTCAAGCAGGGCGACGAGCAGCGCCGTTTCGCCGAGCTCATCCGGCGTCACGAGCCCGGATTTGGGGGTGTTTTGGCCCGGAAGATACGCCCGCTTTCCCGGTTGGGCAAGGGGTCGGATTTTGCCCCCTGGAAAGCACTGTTCAGCGACAGCGTCAAGGAACCCGGCCGGCGACTTGGAGATGGAGCGGGCCGACGAGCTGAACGCGACCGGCCAAGCTTTGGAAAAGACGGTGCAACAGGAGAGGGCCGCCGAGAACAGCCGCACTAATGAGAGGTCGCGGCTCCGGCAGCAGATCAGCGGCCTGGAGGAGGAGATTAGCCAGGTGGGTTCTGTGGTATTATCAGGGGGAGGTGTAATCGTATTTTTTTAAGCCTAGAGATTCCTAATTCCTGGTAATACATAATTTTAATCGGGTATTTGTGAAAATTTTCATATTTATTTCAAGTAGCAGTATTGTCTAATTAATTTTAGAAAAGTTTTTATGTCGAAAATTTGGGCGTACTTTTTAAATTTGTGTGGCTTTTTAGTATTTTAATTCCAGAGCTGGTCAAATTTAAAAATCTGTGAAATGAAAAAATATCTATAAGAATTTTTTTGAGATATAAATAAAAAACTTTTTTATGATAATTTTGTAGAAAATCGGCAAATTTGGTCGAAAAATCGATAGTTTTTGTGGTTTTTAATCAAAATTTGTTTTTTGCGTAAGGAATGGTAAAAACGGTGTACAAGGGTAATCCCCCGTTAACGCCAAAAGAACTGTCGCGTGCTCGGCTTAAAGGCAGTATGACAGCCACGTCTATTTCTAGTTGGATCCTTTTTAAGCTTGCCAATGGTAGCCCGTATACTCGAAGTGGGCGCCGTCCTGTCGAGCAGCGAGGGAACGCCTAAAAAAGGTACTTGAAAAATGCCGAAAATCATAATGTCAAATTCATAATGTCGAAAACAATACTTTCAAAAAAAATCGTTATGTCGAAATTTACATAGACGAATTTCCCGAAAAACCCCCAAATGTCGAAACTGTATGCAAAAAAATTGACGAAATTCTAACTTTCAACATTATGAATTTTCGACATTCTGCATTCTGAATTTTCAGATTATCGTATTTTGACGTTGTGCAATTTCGACATTGTAAAATTCCGACTTCCGAAATGTCGACATTCAGAATTTTGGTCTGATGAATTTCGACATTATGAATTTATACGCGATGATTTTCGACATTACGATAGCCAATTCTCCTGACTTCCGAGCCCCTCTAAGCCCCGCCCCCTTGCAGGCGCGCAAGCAGCTCGGCCCGCTCGAGGCAAAGTCCGTCCTCTACGACACGTGGATCGAGGAGTCAGAGGCGAAACACGGCTGCCCGCTGTGCGACCGGAAATTCCCGTCGAAAGCCGGCTATAAGGACTTTGTGGATAAGGTATTGCCTCGTAGTATTGGGTTACGGTATCTCGCTTTTTCTAGCTCTCGAAACTCTCCATCTCGCTGCCCGGCGAGAGCGAGCAGCTCGCCCGGCAGGTGGCCGAGCTCGAGCAGGAGGAGACGCTGCTCGTCAACGCCGACGCGAAGGGCCAGAATATCGAGTGGGTTATTTTCGGGGGTTTAAAGGGTGTATATTTAATCCAGTTCTAAAATAAAATTACAAAAATTTCCATAAGTTTAATCTTAAACTTCAAAAAAAAAAAAAATGTCAATTCTAATGCCGAAAATAAAATTAAAAAACTGACCGGAAATTCGATTTTTTTAATTTTTCAAAGGTTTAAAATAGTTTTTCTTTTTAAATATAATTTATTTTACCGACAACGTTTTGAATTTACTTCCTATTAAGTTACTAAGGATTTCTAGATTAATACAAAAATTTTGCCGCCCCGATAATACGAAAGAATCTTTTGATTCGCATAATCGATTGTTCGTCAAATTTCAGGCCCCTGGCGGCCGCCCTGCGCGAACTCGAAGCTCAAACCGAGGCAGGAAATCGTCGCCTTGCCGAGGCTGAGCGAGAATTGACGGTTTGTCCACATATATTTTTGCCTAAAACACCCTCTAGGAGTTGAACAAGCGCCGCGGCAGCGTCACCAACAGGCTCGACGCGATCAACCGGCTTTTGGTGGGGTTTTTTGTCACCTTAATGTTGTACGTTTTCAGCTCGACGTCAACATGATGGACTCGTTACACGGCAGCCTGGAGGCCGGGAAGGCCGAGATTGACAGGCTAAACCGTCAGCTGGGTGGCCAGAGCGGAGCCCGATCGTTGAGTGACGTCAAGGCCGAGAAGGTCGAGCTCGAGGATGAGGTCAACAGGTTGCTGCTCGAGGAAGACCGACTCCAGAACGAGTACAACAAGGTCAACCAGCTGGCAGAGGAGGTGAGCTTGCAGAAATTGGTCAGGAAGAGGAGAGGGCAGGCTAGTAGAGATTGTTGAGGAAGAGGAGAGGGCAGGCTAGCAGAGATTGTTGAGGATCCAATTTTCAATTCCAGATCAACCGCCTGCAATCACGTCGCCTTGAACTTGGCGAAGGTGCGGCGAACTTGGCGCATTTTGACGTGCAAATCCGCGAAAAGGAGCAAGAGGTTCGTTATTTCTAAAAAATTGAATTCGATTTTCGTAATTTAGGCCACGCAACTGAAGGAGGAGTCGGCGGCGTTGCGGCCACGTATTCCGGATTTGCGGATGGCGGAAGCGGTAGGATTTTTTTGAGCATGAGATTTTAAGGGAGTATGACCCATCGATCAATCTCCCTAGCCTTTTTGAAAGGGAGAGTGACATCCCTAAATCTAGGCGTTTTGAGGGGAGCATGAGATCCAGATCAAAAGCCGCAGCCCCCATAAGGGGAGCGTGACCCCTAGTTACACCCGATTAGTCTTTTTATTTGGAGCATGACACCCAGATGAATCTCTCTAGCCGTTTCAAGGGGAGCATGACATATCGATCAACAGCTCTATCACTTTGAAATGAGCGTGACATCGAGATTCTTCTCTCCAGACCTTTAAAGGGAGCATGAGATCCAGATTCATCTCTTGCTCTTTAAAGTGAGCAAGACACTGATCGTCGACTCGTGCGTAAAAATCTTTATCACTCTGGAATAACGAACAAACACAACAACAACTACACCACTGACGACGCGCCGATGCGCGTGCTCGGCCCTGTCGGAGCGATGCGGGCACTTGCAGTACTGCGGTCCTCAGCCGGGCCCTCCCATGCTGCCCGGGACCCTGTCGGCGCCCGGCGCTCCCGGCTCGCCGACAATGCCTCTGTTCCCCGGCTCCCCCGTCTTGCCGCCCATGCCCGGCTTGCCGTCGGCGCCTGAAATGGGGGCGGTTTTAAAGGA